CCTTCTTGAGGGCGCGGAAGGCGTCCTCGTGGAGGGGTGTCCAAGCCCAGGGTGGGTTCTTTTGGAGGAGGGTGGAGGTAAGGACGTAGAAATACCTAGCGTATCCCCAGATGAAGTTACTATAGTAGCTGGTCAGGCCTAGGAAGCTGCGAAGCTGCTTGGCGGATGTGAGGGCGGGCCACTCCGCAATAGCAGTGATCTTCGCGTCGTCCATGTGGAGACCCTGGTCAGACACGTAGTGTCCTAAGAAATCCACTTTGTGCAGGGCAAAGCGGCACTTGCTCAGGTTGGCGTAAAAGTCATGTCTGCTCAAGCGGTCAAGAACGTCGCGTAAGTGTCTGAGGTGCTCCTCAAGGGTACGACTGTAGACCAGGATATCGTCGAGGTAGACGAGAACGTACTGCTCCAGAATGTCCCTGAAGATGTCGTTCATCGCCCTCTGGAAGGTGGCGGGTGCATTGGTGAGGCCGAATAGCATCACCGTAAGCTCGTAGTGGCCGAAGCGCGATCGGAACGCTGTCTTCGACTGGTCGGCTGCAGCGACGCGGATCTGATGGTAACCGCTACGAAGATCAATCTTCGTAAAGAAGCGGTTGCCTGCTAGGCGGTCGAACAGCTCATCGGAACGAGGCATGGGGTAGCTGTTCTTAACCGTGTAGCGGTTGAGACCGCGATAGTCGATGTAGAGACGGAGAGTTCCATCCGCTCTGCGAGCAAAGAGGACGGGTGCACCCCATGGGGAGTTGCTGGGTTTAATGAAACCCAGTCTCAGGAGCTCCTCAAGCTTACGCTTGAGTTCGGTGGCCTCGGGAATCGAGAGTCTGTAGGGTGCCTGGTGGTGAACACGATAGTCAGGCGCAAGCTGAATGGAGTGCTCGACGTCACGCATCGGTGGGATGCCGGCGTACGAGAACGACGATGGGAAAACGTCGTGGTACTCTCGGATGAGGTCACAAACTGCAGGCTCCAGGTCAGCCGTATATCGTGCGAGTTCCTCAGCATCAGCGTCAGCGCCCGACGGCGGAGTGGACTCGATGGACGGCGGAGGGACGGAAGTAGAGATGGGAGCCATGGAGATAGAGGGAGGATCTGGCTCCAGAGGGATGAGCTCGGCGTCGGGACAGGGTGGATCATAGTGTAAGAGATCCGTCACGCCCACCATAAAGAAGGTGACGTCGTCCTGTCGAATGAAGTGAGCGAACTGCCGAGGCGAGGTGACAGTGATAGAGGGGGGTGGTGTGGGCACTGAAGGCTTCGGGGGAGGAGGATCGGGGCGTGGTATCGCCGTGGTACCTATGAAAGGTACGCGATACGTCTGTCCACACTTCGTTTTGAGAACGAGAGTGTTGGTCGCCCAATCGGCCTCGGTGCTGCGGAACCGACGAGACCACGGAGTGCCGAGAATGAAGTTGTACCCCGTCTTCATCACATCGAAATATGCAGAGGAGCGGTGGCGACGAGACGCTGGGGAACGATCAGTCGGCTCGAGAGTGAGGAAGAAGGGAGGTCGGTGACCGTCTGATCGAAGAAGCGCTGGGTCTTGTCATCCCCTAG